GCCAAGTTTGGAGATCTCTGGCTTAAATGAAAGAAGGAAGCGAGAGGGTGGTATCGTTCCCTTCCTGGATGAGGAAGTTGTCCCGATGCTGACCAGAACCATCCCACGGAACGATTTCTGGGAATGGGCAGTCTAAAAAGGTAGAGGCGGTAGACGAGAAAGTTACTTCCCCCTCTTGGTTTTCATTAAGGGCCAGCATTTGCTGGAAACTACTCAGCGTTAGTTGTGGACTGGGGAGCTCCCGGCAATGCAAATCATTACAGGTGGAAGAGACACAAGGCCGCCCACCGCAATTTCTTTTCAGGAAGGCAAGTTAAGTCTTCTTAGCCCCCCACATCCTTTAAAAACTGTGGAAAAGGGAGGAGGAGGAGGGGGGAAGAAGAAGAGGGAGAAGAAAAAGAAGAAGAAAGAGGAAGGAAGGAAGGAAGGAAAGGAGAAAGAGAAAACAAGGAAGGAGGAAGAGGAGGAGGAAGAAGAGGAAGAAGTAGCAAAGATAAAAAAAAAACCATCAGTCTCTTCACACGCACCCCAGTGAAAACGAGTCGAATGAAAGAATAACGTGAGTGTTGCAAGCACCCCCAAACTTTGATCTAAAAACTGTCAAAGAACTGGGCACCAAATGGTTAATCTGATCCTTGGAAACTCTTGAGCTAAAATAGGGGGATTTAGACTGGACAGGGTGCGACAAGGGAAATCCTCATTTCCCCTTCATTAAAATAGTCATTAACATCGTCTTCAACCCCACCCCGCTGGTCCCCAGTAAAGGTGATTCTCTGAATGCCTTCACACACCTGAGTTCAAGCGTCACCTGAGTGACACACACACGTCACCTGAGTTCAAGCGAAGACTCAATAGCCGGCTTGATTAGTATTCATCTTGAATAACCCCCTTTATTTATTGTGGCTGTGTGAACGCGGGCCCAGGGGGGGTGTAACAAACCCCCCACTTCCAGTCCCAAAGGGAGCGGAATGGATCAAAGACAGGAACAGCAGAAACAAAACAAGGATTTAAAAAAAGCTGGGGGTTTCTTTGTGCATTTAGAGGTGAAATGTGGAATCCAACTAATTTAGAAAACCAGTCCGGAAGGCCTTGGTTTAACTAACTAGATTAGCTATATTGGAAAGGCGTCAGCTGGAGATCGCCAAATACCAATACAGTCGCGGCCAGTTCCCACTGCCGGTGGAGGATTTCAGCACCAGGGACAGCTCCAGCCGCGCCTTCTCATCTGAGCGCCCCCCCCCCCCCCTTTGCCCCCCCCCGCGGTTTCCAATCCCCCCCCTCCCCCTCCCCCCCAAAACCCCCTATCCCCCCCCCCCCCCCTCCCCACTTCCCGCCGCCAGCCCGGTGCGTGCTGCTCGGATGTCCCCAAAGACCCCTCCTCCCCTCCCTCGTTCTCAGCCTCCCGTCCTCGGTTGCAGTAATTTTCCGTTTGATTTGGGAGGTAATGCATTTTTTACAAATCAAAGAGGAAGGGGGCAGATTTCCCCCCTCCAGGCCCCCAGGAGCTGGGGCCCAGATGAGAGGCGCAGATCATTTCCTTGTTAGTTTTGATTTCGGTTACCAGACTTTCAACTTCCCTCCAACCTCCTGGAGAAATGTTATAACAAGTAGCCGAGGGAATTTTCTTTCTTTGCTTCCCCCCCCCGCCCCCACCCCCCCGCCGCCCTCCTCCTCCTTCCCTCTCCCGCTTCTCCCCCCTTCTCTCTTTCGCCTTCTCGCCTCCCTCTCATCTCTGCGTATTCCTGAAGCCGAGAGGAGAGCCCAGGAACCCCAATCTGGAAAGAGAGAGGTCGAGAAAAAGGGGGGGACAGGGCACTCCCGTATCCACTCCCACCACCCCCTCTCTCTCACACACACATGCCAGTTCTTATCGCCTTGCTTGTTTCGTTTTCCACGTCCTCGTTAGGCGAGGTCGCCGTTCATTGAACGTCTCTTTAAATGAAGAAACACCTAGAAACCAAGACATCAACTTTATTAGGGGGAGAAGTGGGGAGGGAAGGGAAGACCATACACCCTGCCCTATTGCAACTACTACAGGTGACTACGCCGATAGGTTATTCTGCTTCGGCTCCGCGGTTTCTCCAGCCTTGGTTTCTTTCAACCGATTTCGCATACCTTAAGTTAAAAAGCTGCTCGAACTATACGGCCCGCGGTCCTCCTCGGTGGAGGAAACTCTAAGCACGCCGTTCACTCGTTCACGTGCCCCTTCCAAGACACCCAACTTAAAAGACCATAGCTTGGAGAATTAAAAAGGGGGCGAAAATTTACCCCCAAAACAGGGAGCAATGGGTAACGGAAATTAGAATGCTGCAGGAGCCTGAAACTAAAAATAAATAAATTGATTTTACACCACCAACATTCTGGAAGGATGATGGGGGGGTTTGAGTCTTAAAAAAAAAAAAAAAAGTGAGCAAGAAATTAAAAACTGCCACTTTATCCTCATTTCTCTCCCCCCCCCCCTCAAAATACAGAGGGAAGCAACAGGCAAAAAATTAAACCGAGGTTGTCCTGAACTTGCACCCACAGATTCTCAGTTTTGCCTGCCGAAGAATCAACGAAAGCATTAGTTAATTAATCCAGCCATGTCTGGGCAGGGAAAGTTTATGCCTTAATGGGTTTCTTAGCGTGTAAGAATTTCCCACCGATTCTTACCGATCTTTATTGGGCTAAGAAGACGGTTGGTATGCCAAGTTGTAACACCCATCCCACACTCCCATTCCCCCTCCTGAAATCTGCCCAAACCTCTCGGGAGGAAACAAACAAACAAACAAACAGAAGCGCTCCTATCTGTTGCTTTGGGTTAAAAAAATATTCACGGCAACTAACTCTTCCCCTTGCAATAAATAAATAAATAAATGAACGAACGAATAAATAAATAAATCAGGAGCGCTCCCCTTTGAATTGGGGGAACGGGCAGGGCTGGGAACGGAGCGCTTGTACAATTTCCTTTTCTTCTTTTCTAAATCTTGAAGGGGATGTTTGCCAACATCTCCCCTCTTTTTTGGGGGGGGGGGGGGGGAAATCAATGCCGTAAATTATTCATTGTCATTAGTTATCGATTTGGATATCTGGCGGCGGCGTTTGGAGGATGAAAAAGGGGCTCTTCCTTTCCTCATTGTTCTATAACCTCCGGCGAGAAGGGGGGGAAAAAAAAAGCCAGAGGTGGAAGTTCCCCCCCCTCTCCCTTCCCGCCTTCTCCCTCCCATTCCACCAAGGCTGTTCTAAAGCAGCCCCGATACACACGTTAAGGCAAACACCGCGCGATCAATGGGGGATCAATGCCGAGGCATGAAACTAATAGCCAGCGAAGCCCCTTTGATCTCAAATCTCAGCTCAGAACTCAAATACCTGCTTCTAACAAGGCGCGAGAAGGCAGTCTTGGGGGGGGGGGGGGGGGGGGGCACGGGTGCGAGGGGCAGGAGGGCAAATGTTGAAAGGGGGCCGTGAATTCTTGGAGAAGCGGTTTTAAGGTGGGAGGAGGAAGGATGGACGCTGGAGGGGAGCCCAACAGCGAGATACGACCTGTGTGTGTATGTGTTTTGTGTGTGTGTGTGTGTGAAAGCTGCGATTAACACTCCATCCACGTCCCTGCATTCCTAGGCAGCAGCTCGCCAGAAAAGCGAGCAAGCAATTTATTAAGTAAAG